TTTTTTTTCTGTTCGGGACCTAACACTACTGTGACCAGTAAATTGATCTATTGTAGTATATCCCGTGTCCTTAGTTTAGTGCATGTCGTATTACTCCATCACTATTGACAAATGATGAAGTATTCGATTTTTTTTACAGTTGCCACTCTTGCATTTATCGCAAGGATCCGACTCTAATAGAAAGGTCCCGCTATTTATACCCTTCCGAGTGTTGAAACACCCTCCAAAGGCGCGCCCCTTTGTCAGTCAAAATTGGATTCCTTAGCAACAAAATTAAGGTATGACACCGATAATGACCATGCATCAGAACCCTAGTCTTAACCACTTCAAACTAGGGAACAACGATTAGAAGATTAGGAATCACATAGATGAAGACAACTAACTCATTTTTTCCTTGTTTCAAGATCATCCTCGGTAGGCAAAGCCGAGTCTTGTCACTATCAACAAGGCATAAAAAGTAACAAGGACTAAGATGTGTTCCTTGGATTACTGAAAAATTCTATTCCCCTAGTTTCAAGTAGTCAGGACTAGGAATCGGTGGTAGATCTTACATCCCGTAACGTACCACGAAAAGGTGATCTACCCACGTTACGGGGCACACTACAGCTTAAATGAAGTTGTATAGCCTATCTTGATATCAGAATCAATATACTAATTCTACTTTTAGATAAATTAGCAGATATTTTTGAATTGTGCTGCGTGCTCAACTTTTTGGCTCAGCTCGAGTACTATCTTCGGTCCCAAGCTAATCGATGCACCCCTCGAAACATAAGAAAATCCAGGAACCCCTCATTTTATCTGTCAAACTTTCATAGCAAATCTAAACAAACATAGTGTAGTACTAGAATTTCGACTAGAATGGGATACGTTAATCGTTTGCTTGGGACCAATAGGCTAGTCAAGTAGTGAGCCAATTTAAAATCGTTAGTTTCGAATTGATTGTTGGTTCTAGTACACTGTCTCAAAAGCATATAATAGGCCTTGGATGCCTGACATCATCCGACAACTAGTAGAATGGGGCCTCCGCGGACACATCCTCCACTTCATAAGAAATTTACTCCTCTGCCGAACCTTCCTGGTAATTATTGGGAACCATTGCTCGAAAACATTCTCGGAGGAGACAGGAGTCCCACAAGTACAGGTTATCGTCGTAACGTTATTTCTAGTATGGATGAATGGGATCTTCCAAAATCTCCCTAAGAAGATATACATGTTTGCTCACGCTGACGATATCGTTCTGGTCGTCATTAGAAATACCACAAAAACTCTCAACACGATTCCATACTGCAACACCATTCGCATTCCCGGTGTTCGGTTTAACAGAAAGTATTCATTCACAGCGCTCTTCAACGAGGTCAAATCTAACTGCAAATCTAGGTTAATCTTCTCCTTAACTTTGGAGGTCGACACCAGGACTGCAACCAAGACTCCACCTGTCCAGGGCCATAGTCAACCCTCGTATCACGTTCTCAGCCCACGTTCAATCAAGCCATCAGAATTTCCACTGGCCTACTGCCCTCAACTGCCCTAGGTGATACTACATGTGTAGAGAGTGGTTCGCTCCCTTTCAACCGGTTCATTGCCAACGCCTTCTGTCGAAGAGCGATCGGAATTGCTTCAAAGACAACAGGTGAGGGAAGGTTCCTCCTAGAGGAAGCCAATCAATTCCTGATGGAATTTGCCAACCAGGAGCTCCCCACAGTGTGCCAGGTTCACTGTGTTGGAGCCAGGATTTGAAACTTACCTAAGCCCAGTTTTGATCCAACTATCAAAAACCGTTCTAAAGCAGGTTCCAACCCACAAGCGGTAACCAACTCGGTTACCCAACTCCAGCGCGACAAGTACCACGACTACACCATCAGATACTCCGATGGTCCAGTTACCCATACGGGTGTCGGCATCGGGGTTACCGGCCAACAACGACCCCACCAGGATTGCGGCCCTTACTGGTTTTCTTCACGAAACCGGACTCTACAACCAAGTTTAAACCTACTAATAAATCCCGATTATCGTAGTGCCCTCGGGCCTTCCCACCAATCAAACTTGGAACCACGAATCAAAACCTCCAACTTAGACAATAACTACTTACTAACTCTAGTAAACTAGCACCAACACAGCAGCACAAGCGTAAACACCCCATTAACTTCGAAACAGTGCAACAAGCATTTCGAAATTGATTTCCTGTCCTGATGATGGTTTCTTTATTTACAGTTCAGGTCAACCAGAACATGCCGTGGGTGGTTTTTGAATGTTCTAACTAGATTTTCTAGTAGCACTGCCTTGAAAAACCTTAAAAATAAACAAGATCTTTGTTACATTCAAAGTGTTTTTATATTACTTCATACGCGAAGTTAGCGATTTTCAGAGTTGGTTGGAAATGCTAACATGAAGCTTTAGTGCGATAATTTATTAGCTAGAGAATGATCTTTAGAAGAGGGTATTCCACAGCCGCAGTCAGTTTATGAGCAAAACGAGGACGCACATTGTTTGCCTGTAGACTTGAAGACATACTTCAAGTCTCCGCGTACGGGTTAGGCAAAAGATGAGCGTCTGACTTTAAAAACTGTCGCATTAATGGCCCTTCGCTCATTTTCAACTTCTATTCAATTTTCATACTGCCGTACTCTAATGGAACTATCCACCTACCCTCTTCTAAAGATCATTCTCTAGCTAATAAATTATCACACTAAAGCTTCATGTTAGCATTTCCAACCAACTCTAAAGATCTTTGTCCTCATTCTTACCTCAAAATTTCATATCTCTACAGGTAACCAAGAAGCATTAAAAACAGCACATTATCAGCAGCAAATGCTGCTTAAATGCCACTTTTGACAAAATACACGACTACTTTACTGCTAGACTCCACAAGCTAATGGCGCTACTGACAGAAATTTGACAACCGTTGGTAGCACACTCAATGCTGACGATACAGCCTCGGTGCTGTCAAATCTGCCTACTGATGATCATTCTTGTACGAAATTGCTTCCAAACGTGTACATACCCTATAGATTTCTTATGGCTTGTTTACGAACCATAAAAACCAGCGATACGAAGTAGGCGGCGATTGTTCGTATTTGACAGCTATATCCCACCGCTGGATGTGGCATTCCAGCATTCGAGGGTTTAATTTATTTTATTATTAATAATTAATAAAAGCGTCTTGAATCTCGTTTGTTATCAAAGCATTGGCAATGCTGATTTGTGACTATTGTGCATTTTAATAGCTGATTTATAACAGATTTGCATTTAAAATGCAAGAAGCCTCTGTAACGCAAATATGAGGTTGATTTGTGTTTGTGTGGAGTTAGAAGGTGATAGCTCTATTACAGATTCAGCAACCCTTTCAGAGTGTCTGGAGAGTCACGCCCCCCATTCCGAGGTTACTTTCACTTACAACAAGCCCCACATGTAAACACTACCGTTATCATAAAGTTAATGGTACTGCAAACACACTTTCAGATTTTGAAACTCCACGTAGTAGTAAATGGAAATAGAATTTAAAATTGATTTATAATCAGATTGATCTCACCAAACTCTGCCTCCGCAATACCACCAAGTGCTCGCGATGCAATGAGCTGGATTACCGAGGTGAAGCAATCACTCACACAACCACTGTACGATACACGCAAGTACACGCAAGTAGTGACGTCACTACTTGCGTTTACGTTGATTTTTTGGTTTACTAATACAACCCTATTTCACGATCTGCGCCACCTCTCTCTGTACCTCATTGCTCGCGATGATCTAAACAGCTATCGTAAACATTTCTTTCCGTCCACGTCCACGGAAGGTTCACTGTTACTTTTTCCCTAAATCATTCTCCTTCTTCAAAACAATATCGATAGCGTATTATTTCCCTTATCTTCTTAACCCACTAATAACCGGAGGCGAACCAGCCCCAGGCTGAAAGCCTCCCTAATAAAGAAAACTTAACTTAACTTCTACTAATAAATCTAATAGGGGAAATGGATGTAATGTCAGCCTAAATGCCCCTAATTTGGGCCGATACATAATTTCCGCAATCGACTAAATTTTCAATAGCAACCAAAAATATCCTTTAGTACCGTCCCAATGATGCGTTCATCTAGATAATATTGATAAATATCAGATTTTTAGCGATGGGCCCAATCTTAGATCCATAGGCCCACATTAGAGCCATTTCCCCTACTTATGTTTTCTACCTATCCCTACTTCTAGATAGAGCTGAAATTAGGGCGTAACAGCTTTTGTTAACAATGAATTCTCTCGATTGGGCTTATTACCGATGTCACTTCACGGTGAAGTGACAACTTATCACTCACGGTGAAGTGATTAATATTTGATTTACACGGCAATCACTTCACCGTGAGTGACAAGTGGTCTCTTCACTTCGTTTTCATCGTGAAGTGACACTCGTAATAAGGGCCGATGATTTCTAAAAAGTCAAGGCTCGCCCATGCAAACCATCATCTTCATCGGATAGGGGAAGACTGGTTTGGTTTTGTTGGTTTGCGTGGGCGTGCCTTGAATTCCTAGAAATTACCACGAGAAGTCATTGTTTGCAAAAGCAGTTTCCAGCTCTATCTAGACTTGTTCTCTAGGAAATATCTCCTCACACCAAAGACATGTTTTTATTCTTCCTCTATGTCTCCCCTAACCTTCCACCGTTAAATTAGTAGCTCTCCACCACCCGGCCAGATCCGCAAGTCCTAATCGGAAACACTGTCTATTTTCGCGAAATCCCAATAAATCACACTATGACTTAAACGACCAACAATAACGACAAATTCTCATCACGCTTTTTGGAAAAGAAATTAAAAAAAAAAAAAAATTGAAAAAAAACGTGAGAAAAACACGTCCGTTCACGAGCACAGCACACTTGTATCTTCTGTAATACAAATATGAGACCTGTTGATATGCTGAAAATTCTAATGCTTAGTGGTTACCTGGGTCAGCTTCAAATTTCCTTCCGACTAGTGCTGAACTTGACTTCATTCAACCCCAATTCCAACTTGTTCCAGGACTCACTGCTGGACGTTCCGGTCATCCTGGTGGGAAACAAGATCGACCAAATTGGCGACCGAATGGTATCGACCGAGGAAGGCCAACGCCGAGCGAAGGAAATCTCCTGTGCCTGCTTCCACGAGATCTCCGTCCGCGAAAGCATCGACCAAGTAACGGGTGTCTTCCGGGATGCGAGCCGCTTCTGGCGAGTACTGAATCGCTACCCCAAGCTGAAACGGTCCACCAGCGACGTGCACGATTTGCACTCGGAGGTAGAGCTAATCCTCAGTCCGGACAGTGTGCATCCGTTCTGTAACTGTGATTTGAGCCATGAAAAGCGACGATCAATCATTATTCTAGGTGAGAGACGGAGGTGGGGTGTTTTCGAAGACTGAGATGTAAATGATACAATTTATACACATTTTTAGGCCGTCCATGGACCGAAGAGGAACCGGACGAAACGGACGAGTCCGAATCGAGCTGTTGCTCCTCGCAAAAGTCTGACGTTGAAGAACCATTCCGAGGCCGGGCGTCGACCGATGGAACGTTGCTGTCCAGGCCACGACGGTGGCGGTTTGCGCCACCTGGATCCCTCATGCCACATGTGAGCCGTGTTGAGCGACGCATGAGCATATCGATGAGGGGAAGTAATGCTAGCTATTGAAAAACTTGTTCCGTGTCGATTTGTTTTTATGCTTGACAATATTGTGATTACTTGGATGTGAATGTGCTTTTTTGAGATACATCCACAAACCGGGAACCTCCGGGATCAGATATGCCGCAAATATTCAATTTTACTGTAGATTTGTATAAACTGAACGGCCTACATTACCGGAGAAATAACGGAACCTCAAATATACACAAATAAGACAGAAAGAAAAGGATCCATTTCGAATGGTAGAGAAAGCCAACATATAATTTTTCACATTTATTCATCAACGGGTGTTCGGTCAACTAACAGGCTCAACATCTCTGGATCGTTCTCGTCTCTAGCCAATTCCAGTGCCGATTGACCATCTACGGTAACAGATTCTTCTATCGATTCTCCAATCTTGTCGGCAAAATCAAGCATAACCTTTAGCGACTCGACAGCCTGATTACGAATGGCAATACCTACAGCCGTCATTCCATTCCCGTTGCGATGATCCAGGCTGGCTCCGTGCTCTAGCATCAGCTGAACCATGCGAAAATGGTTGATTTCAACTGCCTTTTCCAGCACCGATTCGTTCCGTTCGCTATTGACTGGTTTGTTGATGAGTTGTGGGGAGTTCTTTAGAAGCAGCACTACCATTTGAATGTTTTGATTCAGTATGGCATCATGAAGGATTCCTGCTTCTCCTTGGTGGTCCGCTACCATCGGTTCAGCACCGTTTTGCAGAAGATATTCGACTGCCTTTAAGTTGTTGGATCGCACGGCATACATCAACGGAGTAAGGCCATCGACATCAGCTAGGTTGAATACGTGGACGCCGTTCGGCAGGTGAGTTCGGTTAGATTTGACACAGTGCTGGTATACGAGGTCGATGTGTTCTAGGGAGCGGTTCTCCAAGAGAATACTATGGAAGGTGTTTCTGTTCGTGCTGCGCAATATTAGAGGGTCAGCACCAAGAGTGAGAAGGTTCTGCAAAAAGCGCGTGGTAGCATTTGCTGGGACGATGTCTAATACTGAAAAATCTGGGATGTGAGGTAGCACGCCTGTGTTCCGGGTAGTATCTTGGATGATGCAACTACTAGACTTAGTGTGGAGCATTCGGAGACATTCAGGGGGATCGATGCCGCTCAAGACGGTAACAGTAGCTTTGGCCAATGCAACATCAGCATGTTTTAATAGCAGATTTCGCAGTAACATTACAACGGCATCCATGTAGTGATTAGAAGGTGGGATAACAATTTCTATACGATCATTATTGAAGTAAGGTGTTGGATTAGATGACTGCACTGCTAGTTCGATCGCTATATTAAATTCTCTATCTCGATTAATGAAAGTCACGTTGCGACTGACTGTTTTAAGATGCAATTTATTTGGTAACTCTTGCACTTGACGAATCAAGGCAGAGCACAATTCTATTGTTCTCTTAGCTGGCGAACCTTCGTTGTAATTTTCAGTATCACCAATGATTGCTCCCGATTGATTGATCCAGAAGAATGAGGAGATCTGGTCCGTTAACCACTCTGCCACTTCCAGGTTGTACTCGGTAGCCGTTCTAATGACTGTTGGTTCAGATTTCAGAAATTCCAAAATCCGCAACTCATTCAAAATCTGCACCCAATGTTTCAACTCGGGATCATCGCAGCAATTGTCCTTGGGTTTGAATATTTTTTCCAACAAAAATTTAACTACTATAGGGTTTGAGTTCTGCAGTGCGCATTCCATAATACCTTCGCAGTACCACAAATCAATCGTTTTGTTCAAGATGAATTTCATCAATTTCAGCGATCCCTGTCTTGCCACGTATTGAATAACATTGGAATGAAATTCCTTTGGGAACGATCTTCTGACGATGGATCGAACAAGTTTAAAGTTTTTTTCATATACAGATACGAAAATTATAAACCCTTCATCGATCCATGGATCGATTCCATTGTCGAGTAGATGCTCGGCAATGTCCCAGCGATGATGATAAACGGCCTTGATCAAACCACTGCTGCACTCTAATTTATTGGCAAGGAGGATCTTGATCATGTCCAGCCGACCTGCAGAGAAACAGGTTCGAACAACTTCCTCCCAGATGGATTCAGCAATCAATTTTCTATCACACTGTAGCGCTTTTTCCAGTGCTTCTACGTTGTTGCTTCTGACGATCAACAGTAAACTTTCAGCTGAAAATGCTACGTCGGATTGGGTTTGAAAGAAGTGATCGAGCTTTGAGCTATCCATTGTGATCAGCGGATTGCAGAACACTTTTCCGTTCGTAGAGTAGCCCACACTGAGGTTGAGAATGTTCTCAGCATAATCTTCGTAATCCTCTAGTAGAATTAGCATTGTATCAAAATTCTCATTATCTGCCAGGTATTTCAGGACAGCTCCTATGCAGGGAGCTATGAGATCTGGTTGTAGTGCTTTAAATTGATCGATTGCTTCCGTTATGTCCAGGTAATCAAATTGCTCTAAATTTAGCAGGAGATTTGTCGTTATTTCGCCTCGAGTGATGATCCGACTGTAAACAAGATCGTTCGTACTTAATTCCACAACTGCCGGATCAATTTGTCCCGCATTGAACGTTTCATGGGCTAATATTTCCGCAATCGAGTATGCTCGATGGATAAGAAATCTTCCTGGGGCATGATAGAATCTACCCCATTTGTCAGCTTTCATCTGCAGAAAATCATTGACCACGGCTTCATCACAGTACCGATATGCTTGAAGAAGCTGCGTTTGTATCCCAATCCACTCGAAACCTTTCTCTTCAACCGTCACAAATCCTTGCAGATCAAAATCCTGAGCTTTTGAGAAAATTTTCAGCCCGTCCGAGTCGAATGCTAGTACAAATCCATTCACAAGGCCTCTGGTTACATCCGACACTGTTAACAAGTTGTACGAAATCGAATCATGTGCCAGATAGTTGCGATACGTTTTGCCCCAAATCATCGGGAGCGATCGTTTAAGAGTGCTGAAATTATCACCGAAGTGTTTTGTTTTGATCAGTATTTCCATAGCCTGCATCTGCCAGTACTCCAAGGCAAGACGAAACTTTAACGGAATCTTCATGTAGTTTACGCAGAAGCTCTCAAACGTTTCACAGTGGTTCTCTACAAAAACGTTCCGGATTTGTTGAATGATTCTCTTGAATTCATGTTCCAACAGGGTTTCATCCTCTCTTCGAATTCTTGCCAGGATCAATTTGAAGTCCCGGTTCCGATCTTTGAACTCAGCGGACTCTTTTGGCCCCGTGAAGTGTTCTTTGAGCGACTTTGTGATTGCTTGAGCTTTACTGTCGAGACCGAAGATGTTCTGGTAATAGCCACCGGTGAGATTATCATGCAACTGAGACTTTAATTTTTCCAGCGTTTCGTTACCGTCCGTGGATTCGGCAATGAAGTTGGTAAAGATCTTGCACGTTTCCTCCTGGCATATCCATTGATCGGAATATGTGTGATCAAGCTCGATCCGTTGATGGATGTAGCTTTGCATATGAATCGCAGTTTCAGTGAAAAAGTCTATCGATTCCATCGATTCGTTGGTTAGCCATTTGGAAGCAATCTTCTCGAATAAATCCTTGCTGCTATAGGTTTGCAGTTTTGAATCAAGCATGACATGGATTGATCGAATAGAGGCGTTTGCAAAAGCTGCAATTTGTATCATATGCATGTGCCTTTCCGCCTCTTTGTGAGCTTTGTTTAGTTCTTGCACCGCCTCTAGCTTTTGAAAGTAGCTTTCATAGGAACCTTTGATCAGATCTGGATTTGAGTGGGTATTCAGATCCAGTACATACTTGTAGTACTCCAAGTAGCGGAAAATAGCGCTGAGAGCAAATTTTTGGTTGATGTGCATTTTATGGCTTCCAGCATAACGCACCAGTGCACGAAGCTCCTCGATCGTTGTTGCTCGTCTCATCAATCCAAACAAGTTCTGGGTACAGTCGTGGAAAATGTAAACACTAAAAATCAAACTTGATATCGCAATCACCATCATGTACTGCTTCATATGTCGATAGTAGAACATTTGGTCAAATTCACGCGTATACAAGTTGGACAGGGGATATCCATGGCTGGAAAGATCTCTGAACTTAGAATTGAGCCACAGTGAGTCTTGAAAACAGTTTTTCAAAATTTTGTTTAGCTTCTTTGGGAAGTTTGGCGAATCAAGAGTATTTTTTGTGGCTTCTCCGAAAATTTGCACGAACCTTTTGAAGGCAGCCATCGTCGTTGAAGCTTTCGAACGTTTGAAATCCTGCTCTGTAAACTCATCCAACTTGACCGGAACGTTCTGAACAAGTTTCATAACCGATCGAATTTGCTTTAGTTTGCGGTAGGTTTTAATTAATTTCTTCAACACATGTCTTTTTGATGTGCATTTTTTATTCTTCTTAACGTTCTTCAAATCCTCTGAAACGGCACACAAGAACTGCTTCAAATTTCGTTGATTTATTATCGTCTTGTATAGAAAATCTCCCGGGCAATTGTTTGTGCTTGTCACGAAAATAGCCAAGCAGAAGATTGTCTCTTTCAGTGGTAGTTCCTTCAATGCCTTGTGATCCTTGATGAAGAACAATTCGTTATGAATCATGCGAATACGAAACACGACCTCGTTGTCTACACTCAAGAAATCAAACCACTGCTCTCGCTTCCGCAGTTCATCAATCCACCCAACCGCCAGATCAATCGAATCCGTCCACTTTCGCCCGACGATATTCACTTGCTTGGCATTCAGATTTCCGCAAAAACGACGCAACCCGAACGAGGCAAACAGACGCAACAGATACATGTACATGTCATCGGCGATGGATACCTGTTTGATAACCAACTCGTGCAGAGCATTCGAACAGCGCAAAAACACATCCCTCTCGGTACATAGCTTGAGCGATTGTAGCAATGCAAGTACCGGCACTTCTCCACTGCGAATGATTCGGTAAAACACATTGGCCGGGTCCGATTGGTTCCATTCGTGCCGCATTAGGTCCTCAGCTAGCTCCATTTGATTTGCTTCCAAAACTCCAAAGATGTCACTTAGCGCCATGACGGTTCGTTTGAATACAACTATTTGCAATGAATGTGCAATTGCTACTGACTGCAATGCATAGGCATCATTCCATCAACTACTCTCCCGGAGACTTAGTCATACGGGTGTTCCCCGTCTGACGGTTTGGTGTGGCACATGTTCACACACGATGGAAGAGTTTGTATTTGGATGCGATGCAATATTATG